CTTCTTGTTATAAGAGAAAATTGTTTTCCCACAATCTAAACTTGTTTTCAGTTCAAGGAAAATGTTTTCCACACATCAATTAGTTTTCCGTCATCTAAATACTAAAAAGTCTTAAAACATTTTTCCAAAGGTAGTTTTCGTTCAAACAAACGGATCCTTAGTTTTCTTTCACTTCCTAGAAGTCTAAATTACAAGATATCATTTGCAGGTGGTTTCTATAACAGACTACATGACTGAAAATATCAAATACGGAGGAGGTGGAGGTACGACGGTCTACAATCTAACTGTTGCTCATGATCAATTTAGTACACATAATGTGTGGATTGAAACTGGTCCCCCGGATCATATTAGCATGATTGCAGCTGGTTGGATGGTAAGTGATTTTTAAAGTAAGTCAATGTCATAGTTTTTATTTATTTTATATACAAGAAGTTCAACATATGGAAAAATCATGTAAGAGAAAAATCTCTTAATTTCCTAGGTTTCTCCGCGGTTATATGGTGATAATCTTCCTCGGTTGTTCACATATTGGACGGGTGAGCTATGAAGATATTTGTTAATTCTAATCGAACCACTTTTTAAATGATCCAAACTAGAAGTTGGAGATGATTTGAATCCTATTGACTAAAGCATTATCCTCATAAGGTGATGGCCATCGCAACGGGTGCTACAATGCATTATGTCCGGGTTTCGTCCAAGTGGATAGGAAAATAAGCCCCGGTTATCCAATATATCCTACTTCTACTTATGGTGGACCTCAATCTGTGCTTGTAATCCACATTGAACAGGTATGTTTGATCATTTCAAGGTGCTTAATATGATGGTTTTTGCTAAAATACATTAGAGACTAATACTTTTGTTCTTATAGTTAGAATTTGCGCTATCTTTCTACCATTCTGAAAGTTATCCATATAAGCATATAATCAATCATTGCATCCATGTTATATACATTATCACTGTCCCTAATGCCAAGCATGGTGCGATATCACATCGTCTATTGAAATAAACTAGTGTTAATAATTTCTGCATTTTTTACATCATTAGCACTTATTATCAATATTTATTTTCAATCAGGATCGAAATACTGGGAATTGGTGGTTGATTTTGACCTCTCGAGCGATTAAAATAGGCTACTGGCCAAAGGAACTATTCTTATATTTGCGCAATGGCTCACTACACACAGCTTGGGGAGGGGTTGGTGTATCCGGAAGCGATGGAGTTTGTCCACCGATGGGAAGTGGTCACAGGCCCGATGGTAATCTCAAGCATGCCACAATCTTTAAATGGCTTCACTGGATTCGATCGGATGGCAAATCTTTACCTCCTCCAGATAAGACGTTGGCGTGGGTGGATAGATCCAATGTTTATGGTTTGATGATTCACCATCATACGATTTTTAGAAATAGCTACATCATTAGCTTTGGAGGCCCAGGAGGTTATTGCAGGGGATAGAAAACACATGAAGAAGCTATCTTGAGCAATTCAAATAACAAAGCTATCGATTTTTGATTCACACTTTTTTGTTTGTAACTAGTGACGTTCATTTTCGTTTCCTTCCTCTTGGGGTTGAGGTGGCAATCGCACACAATGCGACCTCAATGGTAAGCATAACGCCACGTTCTTTAGACGGCTTTGCGAAATTATTGGATATAGTGAACGCCTGCTAGCTCTTTCGACCCAATTCAACATCTATGGTTTGAAGATCACTATGCTAAACAATGACAAACGAGCTACATAATTTCATTGTAGCAGGCAAGTTGTTGCTGGGAATAGAAACTTTATAGAAAATAAATGTTTACCTCGAACAATTTAAAAAGCAAAACTCTCCATTTTTCACTTTATGTGCTCCCTTTTATGACTAGTACTTCGTATTTTCTTTTCCTTTCTTGAGATCGAGAGTGAGATTGCGATTACTAGTGGTCATGATTAGTAAGAATGAACTTTAACATAAAACTAGGCATGTTGGTATAGATAAAATCATCTGTTGTGCATATAATGAATATACATGACCTACTACAGCAAACTATATAATTCATGGCGACAATTGCCATTTTGTAGCTATTATTAGAGATGTTATTGCTAACGGTCTTATAAGCACATTTTGAGTCACCGCCATGCTCGAATAATACTGATGTTGCAAGTACCTTGCTTTAGTTTTTACCCAAAATTGAATTTGATCCGTGATCTCACCAGCTTGAAAATACGTCCTAATATTATAGTTGGACAAGTACTTATCAAGAGATCTTTAACGATACCTATTCTGTCAAAATCTAACGTCTCTAGAAGTTTCTCGGTCTTTCAAAATATAATTTACGGCTTTTCGATTCATCGAGAATTATGTCAATTTGGTTTGAAAGGAGAGAAGTATCATGTGTCAGAATTTAGTCATAATCTCCCTTTTCTATTAGTGAACAAAAGAGACCAAGAATAGAACAAAATAGGAGAGATACGTGACAATCTTCAAAGCAAGAGGAGTCCAAATGAGCTTGAACGGAACTGACCTGTTGTGGCTGGGCCAAAACATATCTTGAAACCTAATTCACCCGGTCCGTGCTCACTGTCTGAAGTGATTTCTTTTGAACACCAAAGCGTGAGAAGTACTTGTGAAGAAAGATTGAATAAATTAACCTATGAAATTGTAACTTTAAAACAATAATAATGAGTGAAAAGGTGGAAATCCTCGATGTCATCGACAATAAACATTCCGATCATTAGAGTCCCCGTCGTAAATAAAGCATCGCCGCGACTAAGTTCATAGCAAAGCACATTGTCTCCGCTCTTCTTCATCATACTAATAGCAGAACAACAACGACAAGCGAAGTCACAACTCTCGCTTTAGGGAGACATAAAAGAGAGACTAACTTTCCGACGTCGATGTCCTTGTCCTGCAACGAGAGAATCAGCTGCAGGTTCCGCCAGGGACCATCCTTCTGCACCATCGGATTACTGCTGGCTTCTTGTCCTTCTTCATCCGCGGAATCATCAACGCGGCGCGACTTGCTAGGCCTCGATGGACCATCTTCTGCGTGCTGCTTGATGGGTCTCCTCTTCTTCTTGCCTCTCGAGTGTTCAGCTCCGGACTTCGCTTCTTCTTCTGCCATTGCTGACGTCACGCTGGCCTGGAGGAAATTGCAGAGAGAGAGAGAGAGAGGGGTTTAGAGGACGGACGGCGGGGCAAGCGGTTTTCGTTGAAGGGTTTAAGCCGGGTCATGGGCCGGTCGGGTTGACCCGATAGATATGATGGATATGGACCTGATCATAGTTTTGGTTCTTGAAAATGCATTAATTGTAATTAGGGTGATCAATTACCGATCCGGTCCCCAGTTCCCAGCTGGTTCTAAGGTCGGGAACCGAACCAGATCTTCCGGTCTGGTCAAATGAAACCGGTCATTTAGGGTTTAGTTCATGTTTTACTAATTTTTGTTAATGAATATATGTCAATGAAGTTTACTTAGAATTTAATTTACATTTTACTAATTTTTTTGAAGAAATAAAAAAGGTATATATAGTCAGTCCGGTCCGATCAGTCCGGTTCTTCCTTGGAATCGAGAATTGGATCGACACTCCCGGGGATCGGATCGGCCCGGTCTAGGCAGTTTCTGGGTTCGGCGGTCCATTTTGTACCTTCCTATTTACAATGACATCCGACACTATTTTACTTGATAAGTGTTGAAATTATAAGATATAATATTTCGTCGATATCTTTCCTTGTTTGGAAGTGCTTAATCAACATGAGCAGAATACAATATTCCACAAAGGGTAGAATATAATATTTCATAAATATAATGATATATGGCACTATTTTACTTTAATTTTTACGTTTTTTACTTTATTTATTAACTTTTTTAGTGTATTAATTTACTTTCTAAATATCATATAAAATTTTTATTTGAATAATATATACGCATGAAAAGCTTAAAGTGAGTTAAATAGGTAGGTATTATTCTAGTAATATGGGTTGGGTTTGAAATTTGTATTGCAAATATATGGGTCAAGGTGGGTTAAATGAGTTAATTTGGGTCAAACAAAATTCGGATCGACCCGACCTGATCGACTCACTTGATGGCCCAGAAGTAGTTATGCATGTGATGTACATTGAAGGAGTTTGAAAGCAAAATGGCTAACATGCACTCTCTTTTTTTTTTTAATGGTAACCATGCATTATTTTAAGGAAAAGTTTTAGCATATCGATGCTCTATTTCGGGTCATACCTCAACCGCCTCTCTTTAAACAAATAAACTTGTCGTTTTGAAGTTCCTATTATGCATGTGATGAACATTGAAGGAGTTTGAAAACAAAATGGCTAACATGCACTCTTTTTTTTTTTAATGGTAACCATGCATTATTTTGAGGAAAAGTTTTAGCATATCGATGCTCTATTTCGGATCATACCTCAACTGCCTCTCTTTAAACAAATAAACTTGTCGTTTTAAAGTTCATATGTATGAATCGGTCATAATAACGTTGGCTATGGCAATAATTATGCCTGATATGACCATGAAAGAATGAGACAAGTGGCAAACATGCATTATTTTTTGCGACAATGGCAAACATGCGTTATTTAATAATAGTTTTCAGTCTCTCAAACATTTGTCTTCTATCATGTTTGGAATCAACATCATTTATCTTTTACCATGTTTGGAATAAAAAACATTTATGTATGAATCGCTGGTCCAGAATAACGTTGGCTATGGTAACAATTATGCATGATATGACCATGACAGAATGAAACAAGTGGCAAACATGCAATTTTTTTTAGGACAGCGAAGCAGGGATTATTCAATGACACTCTTCAGTTTCTCAAACATTTGTCTTTTACCTTGGTTGGAATAAAAAACATTTATCTTTTTCCATCTTTCAAATCTAATTGCATTGCTCAAACTTATGATCCCATAGTAAAACGTACGACCTCCTTACCATTGTACGAACATGCTCAGCAATATATACCCAAGCGCAGCTAAACACTAGAAGGCCTCACTTTTATGCTTCTTTTTATCACCATGAAACTGAATGTGGAACACACGCCGTTGCTGCTCCTAGTCTTCGGTCTTTCTCTGTGTGAGATGGCCTATATTTCCGAAGAGGATGGTTTAGACTTGGAAAGCCAGGTTAGAACCATGAACAAGCCATCCATCATGACCTTTACGGTAATTTTTGTTCAAATTCTTTTTTCTGCAATACTCTCATTTAAATTTCATGGTGATATTGCAATTTACTCGGTTAATTATTGAAGTACGATTGCTGCTCGACGAACAACTAACGGTGTTTGATTTTATCAAGACTAAAGAGGGAGACACAATTGATTGTGTCGATATAAACAAACAACCGGCACTCGATCATCCTCTACTGAAAAATCATAAGGTTCAGGTAAAAATTCATCATTTTCTCCTAAATCAACTAATAAATATACAGACCGATATCGTATCATTTAAATGAAATGGTCAACTTGATACTTCTATAATCAGCTTTTTCTTCTTGTAGACGGAACCGAATCTACATGTCACTCACTTGCGCAGAACTTTTCCAAATGCAAAATCAGTAAGATTTGGGTTGGGAGAACCTTGCCCTGTCGGAACAGTACCCATTCGTCGAGTAACAAAAGAAGATTTGATGAGGGCAAGATCCATGCCCAAGATACCGTCGGTCACGGCTGCGAGGCAAACTACTCTTAATTCAAATCAACATGTACAATCCCTCTATCCCATGCTCACATGCATATCTACACACATACCATATCACCGGTGACTTTATTTTTTTTTGAATCTTTTAATGAAGTTATGTATATATGAATTTCATGAGACCACATGTCAAATGTCTAGTTATGACGATCTCAAAATCTGTTCTTTCCATGATTTGTGTATAAAAAGAAAATTTATGCATCTATTGAAATAAGACCGGTAGGCATAGGTGATTAAGAGATTATTTAGGGTGTGTTTGTTTTACCGAAAGCTTCATTATAAACAAAAAATCTTCATTATAAAGGAAAATAATTTCTATTGAAATTATTCATGAAAAATGGTTTGTTTTCATTAGTTTGGTGGTTTAGGAAAAGTAATTTCCTTCTTGTTATAAGAGAAAATTGTTTTCCCACAATCTAAACTTGTTTTCAGTTCAAGGAAAATGTTTTCCACACATCAATTAGTTTTCCGTCATCTAAATACTAAAAAGTCTTAAAACATTTGTCCAAAGGTAGTTTTCGTTCAAACAAACGGATCCTTAGTTTTCTTTCACTTCCTAGAAGTCTAAATTACAAGTTATCATTTGCAGGTGGTTTCTATAACAGACTACATGACTGAAAATATCAAATACGGAGGAGGTGGAGGTACGACGGTCTACAATCTAACTGTTGCTCATGATCAATTTAGTACACATAATGTGTGGATTGAAACTGGTCCTCAAGATCATATTAGCATGATTGCAGCCGGTTGGATGGTAAGTGATTTTTAAAGTAAGTCAACATCATAGTTTTTTATTTATTTTACATACAAGAAGTTCAACATATGAAAAAATGATGTAAGAGAAAAATCTCTTAATTTCCTAGGTTTCTCCACGGTTATATGGTGATAATCTTCCTCGGGTGTTCACATATTGGACGGGTGAGCTGCGAAGATAATTGTTAATTCTTAATCGAACCACTTTTTAAATGATCCAAACTAGAAGTTGGAGATGATTTGAATCCTATTGACTAAAGCATTATCCTCATAAGGTGATGGCTATCGCAACGGGTGCTACGATGCATTATGTCCGGGTTTCGTCCAAGTGGATAGGGAAATAAGCCCCGGTTATCCAATATATTCTACTTCTACTTATGGTGGAGCTCAATCTGTGCTTGTAGTCCACATCGAACAGGTATGTTTGATCATTTAAAGGTGCATAATATGATGGTTTTTGCTAAAATACATTAGAGACCAAAACTTTTGTTCTTATAGTTAGAATTTGCGCTATCTTTCTACCCTTCTGAAAGTTATCCATATAAGCATATAATCAATCATTGCATCCATGTTATATACATTATCACTGTCCCTAATACCAAGCATGGTGCAATATCACATCGTCTATTGAAATAAACTAGTGTTAATAATTTCTGCATTTTTTACATCATTAGCACTTATTATCAATATTTATTTTCAATCAGGATCGAAATACTGGGAATTGGTGGTTGATTTTGACCTCTCGAGCGATTAAAATAGGCTACTGGCCAAAGGAACTATTCTTATATTTGCGCAATGGTTCACTACACACAGCTTGGGGAGGGGTTGGCGTAGCTGGAAGCGATGGAGTTTGTCCACCGATGGGAAGTGGTCATAGGCCCGATGGTAATCTCAAGCATGCCACGATCTTTGAATGGCTTCATTGGATTCGATCGGATGGCAAATCCTTACCTGCTCCACATAAGATGCGAGAATGGGTGGATAGATCCAATGTTTATGGTTTGATGATTCACCATCGTACGATTTTTAGAAAAAGCTACATCATTAGCTTTGGAGGTCCAGGAGGTTATTGCAGGGGATAGAAAAACATGAAGAAGTTATCTTTGAGCAATTCAAATGACAAAGCTATCAATTTTCGGTTCACACTTTTTTTTGTTTGTAACTAGTGACGTTCATTTTCGTTTCCTTCCTCTTGGGGTTGAGGTGGCAATCACACGAAATGCGACCTCAATGGTAAGCATAACGCCACGTTCTTTAGACGGCTTTGCGAAATTATTGGATATAGTAAACGCGTGCTAGCTCTTTCGACCCAATTCAACATCTATGGTTTGAAGATCACTATGCTAAACAATGACAAACGAGCTACATAATTTCATTGTAGCAGGCAAGTTGTTGCTGGGAATAGAAACTTTATAGAAAATAAATGTTTACCTCGAACAATTTAAAAAGCAAAACTCTCCATTTTTCACTTTATGTGCTCCCTTTTATGATTAGTACTTCGTATTTTCTTTTCCTTTCTTGAGATCGAGAGTAAGATTGCGATTACTAGCGGTCATGATTAGTAAGAATGAACTTTAACATAAAACTAGGCATGTTGGTATAGATAAAATCATCTGTTGCGCATATAATGAATATACATGACCTACTACAGCAAACTATATAATTCGTGGCGACAATTGCCGTTTTGCAGCTATTATTAGAGATGTTATTGCTAACGGTCTTATAAGCACATTTTGAGTCACCGCCATGCGCGAATAATACTGATGTTGCAAGTACCTTGCTTTAGTTTTTACCCAAAATTGAATTTGATCCGTGATCTCACCAGCTTGAAAATACGTCCTAATATTATAGTTGGACAAGTACTTATCAAGAGATCTTTAACGATACCTATTCTGTCGAAATCTAACGTCTCTAGAAGTTTCTCGGTCTTTCAAAATATAATTTACAGCTTTTCGATTCATCGAGAATTATGTCAATTTGGTTTGAAAGGGGAGAAGTATCATGTGTCAGAATTTAGTCATAATCTCCCTTTTCAATTAGTGAACAAAAGAGACCAAGAATAGAACAAAATAGGAGAGATACGTGACAATCTTCAAAGCAAGAGGAGTCCAAATGAGCTTGAACGGAACTGACCTGTTGTGGCTGGGCCAAAACATATCTTGAAACCTAATTCACCCGGTCCGTGCTCACTGTCTGAAGTGATTTCTTTTGAACACCAAAGCGTGAGAAGTACTTGTGAAGAAAGATTGAATAAATTAACCTATGAAATTGTAACTTTAAAACAATAATAATGAGTGAAAAGATGGAAAGTAGCAAGACATTTTTTTTTGGGATTAAACATGTGTGCACACATGCACCCGCAATAATATAAGGAAAAAGCCACACGCACCCGCGCTCGCACGCATCGTTTGCATTTATTTGGAAAAAGTAGCCTTCCTTCTTCTTCTTCTTCTTTATCTGCCATGAAAAAAGCTTGCGTTTCAGACGACTCAAATTTCAGAAGAACGATGCATCTTGCGCCTCCTTATCTAGGTCTTTGGATTACTTGCAAAGAAGTAATCATGGTCGACCGAAACTCGAAGCTATATAACCAAGAGGGTGCTACTTCAGCCTCCTCTCTCTGTCTTGTCGCTAAACTCCCGGTCGTGGCCGGCGAAATGTGGGAAGGTGACAGCAACGGCGGCTGCGACTGCCTGCTCTTCCATTTCAATAATCTTGTTGGATTTCCGCCAACACAAATTTTTGTGTGCTCGAATAGAGATGTTCAAGGGCATCATCTTGAGACCGCTAGGAGGCCAAGATGAACTTCTTTATATGCTGTTAGGAAACTAACACCGTCTTGCTCCGCAGTTGGACCTTATTGCTTACATAGTATCTTTTATGCTCGCAGAAAGACTCTGTATTTTGCAGTCTGAATGTAAGCCCATGTTGATTAGGCCCATGTTTTACCAATTGTATATCTTTGATTACTGAGAATGAGGTTGCAAATGGAATACACTACTTGGGTTGATTCTGAACTGTCCTCCCGTTGATTTGGAATATGATTTTCGAATTTGGTAGGAAAATATTTTTCATTGACTAATTTTCTTAAGCGATCCAAACGCTGGAAAATGAAGAAAATGTTTTCCCTAAACATATTTTCCGCAAAACAAACGGAGCCTAAGTATTTTGCAACCTGAATGTAAAACCCGTGTTTGCCCAATTGAATACAATCCACAAAGCAACAGCTCAAGAACCATTTGTTGGGGGCAAAATGGAAGCTCCCTCTCATACTATGGTCTTCCTTTGCCAAATGAGTTGTTTTTGCATGATACCAACAAACACGATGTAGCTGAACTTTCAATTTTGCATGCTCAATCCACTCAAATTTTGAATGATGAACAAAGAAATGCGTACGAGAATGTTATAGCATCTGTGAATAATGATGGCAGCATATTTTTCTTGTTCATGGACATGGAGGAACCGGAAAAACTATACTTTGGAAAACCAAGGCAAAGTTACTTTGTTCGTCGCCTCATCGGCCATGGCTTCTTCTGCCGGGTGGTTGAACGGTGCACTCGAGATTTAAAATCCCTTCGGAAGTTGACAAGTACTCAATATGTGAAATAAAGGAGGGCACGCAGCACGCTATTAATTGAAGAGACAAACTCGGACCTTGATTGTGCGGGATGACACGCCAATAAAACCATAGAAATAGTTTCTCCGCATAAGCAAAGTCTTAGGACTTGATTGTACGAACACCAAATGGGGAACGAAATCCCACCAACACGACATATTAGAAACTAAAATGGTACTAAATCCTAGATTCGCCTACTATATTGCCTTTGCAGCGCAACACAACCCCTGATGTCCATGGTGTACCACAAATTGCACAATTTCCCATCTGCGTTTTAAAAATCTCTTTCCTAATCCGGATGGGATAAAAATTATCTTACCCTTTGGGCTCGTGATTTTATCCAGCCTTGTCTCAAATTCGGTGGGGACATGTCAATCAAATATGCCCCGGGTAACATAGGATAAAATATATCATATCCTAACTTTTATCCAGGCTATCAAAATATGCCCCGGGTCTGTGGAAATAGCCTCACCTTAGTTTCCACACCCCGTTTGTAAATACTAAATGAACACTATATGTGATCCTCAGACCCAGACAAACTTCTTAGTCACATACAGGAACAACATGAAAAATTTGAAAATGACAGAAAATTAACCACTCTCACATCATCAATTCAAGGCTGAATAAACATTACATTACAAAGATCTAACATTTTTGGGTTGAAAAAATCACAAACAAGAGAAAAAGGGGAAACAAAGAGAGGTAAAATAGCATCTCGGTTTCAACCATGTTCATGATGTCGTAGCACGCGATGCAAGGCAGCAAGCAGCCCTAAGGATGCTTCACAATGCTAGGTGAGAGGATGCATGGCAACCCTACCATGATTAAGATTCGAGTCATCTATGTTGACTAGGATCTACGATACAACCACTTACAACGTTCCACAATGATGTCTAATCAACCACCCCATCCATGACCCATTCCATAAGGATCCATATGTCCACCCATATGAGTATGATCATGATGATGGTGATGGTGATGGTGATGATCACCACCTTGTGCTTCGTTGAAAATCTTCTGGATATGCTCAGGTAAAGGCTCATCCTCAACTTTCCGCACGAATTTTGGCAAAGAGGACACATGCTTTGAAATGATTTCAGCCAATTCTTCCGCAGCATCTTCCTACACCAATCAAATGAGAAATGAAGCGCGCTTAATGTTTTTCATGGTTGGTTATTGATCAAGGTAGCATCTTCAAATGATCCAAAAAGGGTTAAAAGAACACAATAAGGAGACAGTAGGGCAAGAAGACAGATCATGTTCAGTAAAGTGTGAGAATTTCAATGTGAAGACTTATCAGTGGGGCAAGAAGACAGACCATGTTCAGTAAAGTGTGAGAATTTCAATGTGAAGACTTATGTGAACAGCAATCTTCTCTACACTTATGTAGGACGCAATCGGCATTTAGTCCACGCTACTTACGTGCTCAGTACTTGTAAAGTTGGTGTTTGATATAAGCATTCTGAAATAAATTAATTCAATGAATCTGCATTTTGGATTCAACTTCTGATTGACTATAACTAGTAATCTCTCCTCTCAAGTTGCACCTAGCATACACATAATAATACTCATAGATGCTAAGGCAGACATAATGTCCAATCTCTCTTCTATTGCCAATTACATTTGCATGGCACAATTGAACTTGGCACTAATTGGTCTTAGTACCACATAGTTCAGTATTTCTGTAGCCAAAATACAGAAATTGACAAAATGGTCTATCAAATATAAGATAAATGCATGTGTTGTCTTATCTCAGGTTGAACAAATACAAGGAAAGCTCTATCACCACTCACAGAACCTGGAGTATGAAGAGAAAAACTGATTATGGCTATCATACTCCATTAAACTTGATAGAAGCACACTGCATTTGCTATCACCTGCTTACTCTTGCATATACTGACTATTCCTACTTACATCAAACTTTATTTCAATAATTTCACAATATCTTTCAAGTTTCGTCCATTAACTATTCAATAACCTCCCTCTAGGTTGCATATCTAGCCACAACACCTTCTAGCCACATTTAGCTACACAAAGCAGAGCTCATTTCAGCAATATTTTCAATGTCACAGCCTCTATCTTGTCATCTATTCTAGCTGTGGTTTAAATCTTCACACCTTAAGAAAACTGGATGACATTAAATGGCGTTAATCCAATAACACATGCAAAAACATAGAAAAAATGCAAGCAGTTTTATTTATGATATCAGATACTAGAATCCTCACCTGAGGCCATCGACCACCAGAATGTTCTACGAATTTAGCTCGTGGAAGTGCTTTGGCAATCCGATGCCCCTCTTCCCTCCACTCCTTGGACCAGCCACTGGACCAAAGCACTTGCATCGGCATAGAGATCAACCTTTCTGAACTACCCCATTCTGCAACATTGAAGCTATGATTCAACCTCTTCCCGATCTCAGCAATAGCTCTTCTTCCACCTCTTCCCTTCATCAGAATCCCATGCGCATTGGCATCAGAACTACTGATTCCCTTCACACAGTATGACCTGATCAACCTCTTATGCAAGAAAGGAACACCCAAGACTGCATCGCCAAGCACTGGAACCACGAAGGACCACCAAGGCAATGCTGGTTTTGCTGAAGTATCGACAAGGGTTACACTCCTCACCAGTCCCTCATTATTCAAGATCCAATTGGCACTCATTGCGAGAGCCGAATCATGCAAAACCAGATGAACCGGAGCTAGCCCCATGGTATCGATCACCTGCCCCAGCACCTTACTTACCTCTTCAGCACCCAATCCGAGTGCCTTAACACTCATTCTACTAACCACCCGCAGAACCTCGGTCTCTTGATAAGGCATTTGCCCAGTTTCAATAATTTGATCAAAGGCAAAGAACAGACCCTTTTCCTTAATCTCACTGTACACGTCCCAAAACCTCTCCAAAACCCCATTTTCTCTTTCTTCCTCAACGGCCACAGTTTTATCAGAGAACCCATTTCCAGGCAAGTCAATTGCAATGGCACGTATATCTTTGGAGCCCAGAGACTGCACGACTCTGCTAAAAGAATAAGAACTCGCACCCAACCCATGAATAATTAACACATTCTCGGCAGAGCTAGGCCCGTTCTCGACCGCAAACACTTCAACAGGACTAGAATCTGGGTATATCTGGACTTTGATGGTACGGCCCTTGGAGTAATGTTGGCGAAGGTCAGCGGGGAGGCCGAGGAACCAGGATTTGGGGTCTTGCGGGGAGAGGGAAGGGAGAGAGACGAAGAGGAGGGTGACGAGAGAGACGGCCAGAGTGAAGTAGAACCAGAAAATGAACGGGTTCGTGCGCGAAGATTGTGAAGCCGTAGTGGGGTTCTGGGGTCGGCTCACCTCTCGTTCTTGTTCTGGTTTCGGTCTCGGTTCCGGTTCTTGATGTTGACGGTGGTCTTCTGCTTCCTCCGTTATGATCGCCATTGCTGCGGAGGTTCTCAAGCCGTTGGTATCACCGTTTCTGCGAACCTAGTGCGCGAGAATGAGCGGATTGAGATCTACAATGAACTTTCTGCAAGCAGGGAGAGAGCCCCAGAAAAGTGAGCGTTTTTTTCTATGAAAAGGAAGACTCCTCTGTTTGCGAAAGCAAAGAAAGTAGGAAGACAAGACTGGGCGTGCGAAAAGTTTTAAATTTTGACTTCCTTTCGTAGGAGAATAAAAAATCTTGCTTTTGCTTTCAAAAATTATGACCGGCCGTTCCTAAATCGATTTGATAAAGGTATTTGCTAAGTTATAACTCCCCTTAGAAATTTGCCGGTGATTGATGCTTGAATTTTTTCCTTAGTTTCTCCATGTCGATTACCCTTCTCTTTGTTTGATCATACATTCGAGCTTGAAGAAGCTCAAATTAGAGGTATGCAAAAGAATCGGGAACCGCCCAAAATTGGACCGGACCGGACCAGAACCAGTGGTTCCCAGTTCGAAAGGCCAGGGTGACTGGACTGGTGTGACAGACGCTTACTCTGAAATTGACCAATAATACTAAACTACAAAAGGATCTACCAAATTATTACTGCTCTGGGGGATGCAATGCGGGTGATGCTGCTGATAAAGCTACCCATGACTTCTCCATGAGGGAGCAAGTGAAAGAAGCCAAGAGATTTGTTTTCAATTTTATCACAGTACTTCTCAGCAGCTGAACTTTCTCGATACACCGCTGCACTCCACATGTAAGAAAACACTACAAAATCAGTAGCTCCTGCTGTAGGAAACAATCGGATACCGATTCATGTATACTCTATACCAACGGATGCCTCTATGAGAGGTGAATATCTGCGCTCGATTCAAGAGAAAATAGATATTCTAAAGGTGACGGAATGCGAGGAGATCAGTAGAGAAGAATATATTGGCACTCCATACTGAAAGAACATCATATTTCTCTCAGTTGTTCCACCCTGATGCAATTTCTTGATGTATTACTATTCCTCAATGGCATCTAATGAAAAACAGAATGGAAATAGCACAATCCATATGGTTCCTGTTTCCATCTCTATGACCAATTCCTATTTAAAAAAAAAATTCAGTCATCAGCTAAAACTTTGCCAGCCTCAATCAAATAATGTAGTGCTGTTGAATTGTCACGATGTCGAGCCCCTTAAGTTTGACCACTGATTTAACACGTCCCTTGAGGGTATGAAGCTGTTTAAACCTGGGTAAGTACAGAAACAGAAAGATATCAGGATTTTCTGGTATAAAAAATGTTGAATGCAATTTGTTACTTCCGGTCCCTACCTTGCAACCCCAGCACATTTCCTAGCCTGTTCTGCAATTGCGGACAGCTCAGGGTAAGTGTTGTTGTCCTGTTTCAAGTGGCGGGAGTCTGCGTTGGACGCGTTGCTCCCTTGCGCATTGAGCCTGTCCATCTCCTCTTTCTTACCCTTTCTTCATACTTAAGGCCATCTGCAAGGGAAATTGTTTGCAATGATAAGCACAATACAAATAACAGACTGCAATAGACGCAAACAGTATGCAACTCTGTGTAAACAGTCCATGTTTGCCAACTTCCTTCTCATAAGTGAAAAGCCTAATGAAGAGGTAGCTCATCTTGTGCTGCAATGTCCCAAGCCCTCTCGCTCAGTGCGTACCGGATTGTTAACTTGAGAATATCTAAAGGAATATGCGACATAATACTCCACAGCCAAATGACACCAGTCCACTCTTCCCAACTATCACAGCCATTGCCATCTCCCATGCCTAACTCCTGGAAGTTCAGGGAGATTTTGGCTATGGCGTTGTCCTTGGAACCTACTTCGCTATCACAACTGTTGTTTTCTTTTGGCTGCACATAAAACAAACTTCTTCTCGGTAAGCTTATACGCTAATCAGAAATATAATTATCAAAAGAGTCTAGGGAAGGGATGCTTCCTTTCGGGACTGCATATGTAAATTACTTGTAGTTTGGTTTTTTTTGCTTTGTGATCGAAGTTTTAACTCATACCTGACTTCACAGCACAAATTTGGAGTGAGGTCAATTAGGAACAATTCCACAGGCTTACAGCATTTGTCTACCTCCAAGTGAGTATTGGGAGCAGGCACTCATCTTTGTTATTCAATCTCGTCATATGTTGAACGCCGATGTCTCCAGCTTATGTCAGTCTTCATCGTTACACAGCTGGTGAGGAATGAAAACGTGATGGTGATGTTGAAGAGTAACGGGTTCATGACTCATCGATCTAAATTGTGTTTATCAGATTGTGACTCTCCTGACCGTGTATGCAAATTGGGGTTTCGCAAGGATGCATGGCATCGGGGCTGGGATGGGCTGGTGTCATATGGCTGTGGAGTGTTATGTCGTATATTCCTTACATATTCTCAAGTTCACAATCCGGAACCTCATCTCAGTGCGTACTGAATTGTGAACTTGAGAATATCTAAAGGAATATACAACATAATACTCCACAGCCAGATGACACTAGACCATCCTAGTCGATGCCATGCATCCTTGCGAAACCCAATTTGCATACACGGTCAGGAGAGTCGCAATCTGATAAGCATAATTTACATCAATGAGTCATGAACCTATTACTCTTCAACATCACCATCACGTTTTCATTCCTCACCAGCTTTGCTATGTAACAATGAAGGCTGACATAAGCTAGGGACCTGGGCGTTCAATGACCAGCTGCGAGATCCAATAATAAATGAGTGTATGGCTCCTAATACAAACCTGGAGGTAGAAAAAGCTCATGGGGATTGTCCTAATTGACCTCACTCCAAATTTGTCCTGTGAAGTCAGGTATCGAGTTAAAACTTTGATCACAAAGGAGAAAGGCCAAGCTGCAAGTAATTTACGTATGCAGTCCGAAAGGAAGCATCCTCCCTGGACTCCTTTGATAATTATATTTCTGATCTAGCGTATAAGCTTACCAAGAAAAAGTTCATTTTATGTGCAGCCCGAAAGAAAATAACAGTCACGACAGCCAAGAAGGTACCAAGGACTTGCCATTGAGACTGCATGAATGGTGTAGCTTTTCATTCTCTCGAAGATTGCTCTGCTTGTTAAGACAAATCTGACAATCACACTTAACCCTCGTGTGGTGAGTATGTGCCTCGGGCAGCATCAGTTGCATCAGCTACATCAATTTCAATGTCTGCCTTCTTTAAAGCTGGTGCATCATTCACGCCATCACCAATCATCCCGCATATGTGCTTCCTTTCTTACAGCCTATTCACAATGCTCTGTCCATTAGGCACAACACAGTTAGTATCTTCCAGCCACTTCGATAACAAAGTTACATCAAAGGAAAAAAGAACTTGCATATAAAGTTGCTTGCAATTTGGAGCCTGTGGCAATGCTTGCCACATATCATGAAGAGAAAAACTGATTATGGCTATCATACTCCATTAAACTTGATAGAAGCACACTGCATTTGCTATCACCAGCTTACTCTTGCATATACCGACTGCTCCTGCTTATATCAAACTTTATTTCAATAATTTCACAAAATCTTTCAAGTTTTGCCTATTAACTATTCAATAACCTCCCTCTAGGTTGCATATCCAGCCACGACACCTTCTAGCCACATTTAGCTACACAAAGCAGAGCTCATTTGAGCAATTTATTTTCAATGTCGCAGCCTCCTTTATCTTGTCATATATTCTAGCTGTGGTTTAAATCTTCACACCTTAATAAAACTGGGTGATATTAAATGGCATTAATCCAATAACACACGCAATAACATAGAAAAAATGCAAGCAGTTTTCTTCATGATATCGGATACTAGAATCCTGACCTGAGGCCATCGACCGCCAGAATGTTCAACGAATTTAGCTCGTGGAAGTGCTTTGGCAATCCGATGCCCCTTTACCCTCCACTCCTTGCACCAACCACTGGACCAAAGCACTCGCATCGGCATAGAGATCAACCTTTCTGAACTACCCCATTCTGCAACATTGAAGCTATGATTCAACCTCTTCCCGATCTCAGCGATAGCTCTTCTTCCACCTCTTCCCTTCATCAGAATCCCATGCGCATTGGCATCAGAACTGCTGATTCCCTTCACACAAAATGACCTGATCAACCTCTTATGCAAGAAAGGAACACCCAAGACCGTCGCGAAGCACTGGAACCTCGAAGGACCACCAAGGCAATGCCGGTTTTTGCTGAAGTATCGATAAGGGTTACACTCCTCACCAGTCCCTCATTATTCAAGATCCAATTGGCACTCATTGCAAGAGCCAAATCATGCAAAACCAGATGAACCGGAGCTAGCCCCATGGTCTCAATCACTTGCCCCAGCACCTTGCCCACCTCTTCAGCACCCAATTCGAGTGCCTTAACACTCATTCTACTAACCACCCGCAGAACTTCGGTCTCTTGGTAAGGCATTTGCCCAGTTTCAATAATCTGATCAAAGGCAAAGAACAGATCCTTTTCCTTAATCTCACTGAACACGTCCCAAAACCTCTCCAAAACCCCATTTTCTCTTTCTTCTTCAACGGCAACAGTTTTATCAGATAACCCATTTCCAGGCAAGTCAATTGCAATGGCACGTATATCTTTAGAGCCCAGAGACTGCACGACTCTGCTAAAAGAATAAGAACTCGCACCCAACCCATGAATAATTAACACATTCTCGGCAGAGCTAGGCCCGTTCTCGACCGCAAACACTTCAACAGGACTAGAAAATGGGTATATCTGGACTTTGATGGTACGGCCCTTGGAGTAATGTTGGCGAAGGTCAGCGGGGAGGCCGAGGAACCAGGATTTGGGGTCTTGCGAGGAGAGGGAAGGGAGAGAGACGAAGAGGAGGGTGACGAGAGAGACGGTCAGAGTGAAGTAGAACCAGGAAATGAACGGGTTCGTGCGCGAAGATTGTGAAGCCGTAGCGGGGTTCTGGGGTCGGCTCACCTCTCGTTCTTGTTCTGGTTTCGGTCTCAGTTCCGGTTCTTGATGTTGACGGTGGTCTTCTGCTTCCTCCGTTATGATCGCCATTGCTGCGGAGGTTCTCAAGCCGTTGGTATCACCGTTTCTGCGAACCTAGTGCGCGAGAATGAGCGGCTTGAGATCTACAATGAACTTTCTGCAACCAGGGAGAGAGACCCCCAAAAAGCGAGCTTTTTTTCTGTGAAAAGGAAGACTCCTCTGTTTGCGAAAGGAAAGAGCAAAGAAAGTGGGAAGACAAAACTGGGCGTGCGAAATATGAAAAAAGTTTTAAATTTTGAGTCACTAGTGTCGTTGACTCGTTGATTCATGTACTTTCGTACGAGAATAAAAAATCTTCCTTTTGCTTCCAAAATTATGACCGGTCGTTCCTAAATCGATTTGATAACGGCATTTACTAAGTTAAACACCCTTAGAAATTTGCTGATGCTTGATGCTTGAATTTTTCCTTTGCTTTTCCATGTCGATCACCCTTCTCTCTCTTTGATAGAATGATCATAGCATCAAGCTCGAGTAAGCTCCAATCGCCGTGACAGAGCTTGACGAAGGTCGAGCAATCATGGACTCGTGGCATAGACAAGTTGGAAGAAGCTCCGGTATTTATGGACGTGAGATTGACAAAGCTTGAGTGGCCATGATCAAGTTCGATGAAACTCAAGTGATTATGGTCGAGATCGAGCTCGAGCAGCCATCACCACGAGTTTATAAAGACTCTAACCACCATAGCTGAGCTCGACAAAACCTGAACAGCCATGGTCCAAAGGTTGAAGAAACTCTAGCAACCATGGCCAAGTTTAAACGGGCATGGTCACGAGCCGGAAGAAGCTCTAACCGCCTTGGTCACAAGTTCCATGAAAATCGACCTAACAATAAATAAATAAAAAGTGTAAGGGAAAAACTAATGGCGACACATCTTAAAAAGTATAAGAACGGTTTTGCATAAGAAAAGAAAAAAGTGGACAAAGGTTTTGATTTTTGGGTAAAAATAAAAGGATCAATGGCGACATTCTACTTGAGAGAGTGAAGGGTTGGAAAATTTCAATTTTCAATCCTCATCCCAACAATTTCGATTTGTTCATTCATTCGGTAAACGTTGTTTTATCTATATCTATGCTATTTATAACGGACGAGAGACTTTTATTGTCATGATACACAACTCTATTCATCAAAGGAAGGTGTACAATGAGCCTCTATACTTTTTGTGAAATGGAGAAAATCTCCAAGCAACCTCATGTACCAACATGTATCTACACTAAGTATAATCCTTTTTTCGATTTTTGCATCAAATTTCATGGCCTAATTATCCCCTCAAAATCCGATGTCATATATGTTTACAATAAAAGAAAAATTGATTACATCTATAGCACCAACCCAACAGACCACTATAATAAAGATCCACAGAACAAAATGCTATACAATCGAAGTAAAATAAGCCAAAATGGCATTTCAAGCTCAACACTAGTTAGTGGAACGGTTTTACATCTCTCTCGACTTCATCTTCTTCACAGTTCCACGCACAACAGACCCCAACACGGATCACTGATCCGTGTTGAAACATTTGAGAAGACTAATGAAATAGAACTTCTTCTCCCACGGAGAATGCGATGCTGGCAACTCTTTCTACCTCGTCTGGTCTCTTCAACACAGATCAAAGGAATCAAGCAAACCAAACATGGTTTTCTTCCCGTCGGAGAAGACATTGGAGATAACATATTTGAACAAAATTTCATGATGTGCCGCATCACACGCGAGAGAGAGAGAGAGACAGACAGACAGACAGACAGACAGAGACAGAGAGAGACAGAGACCCAAAAATGTGAGAGCAGCTGCAGGAAGGTTCATAACCACATGATCTACATGCTCCCATGTCTTAGAATAGGACAACGCAGTGGCCCTCGTTCGCTTATTATTATTTCCTTTTCTTGTACAAGATACAAGTACACTACAATCTTCGGCCTTGGCACCTACCACAAAAATATGCAGGATAAATGAATTATCTTGAATCTTGATTAAAAAATGCAAGAATCAGCAAACTGCACCACCATGTACAAAATCTTAAACAAACTAACACATATATGTAAAAGCATATAATCTATTCAATGCAAAAATATATTTGACAGTGATGGTTGTGTTACCTTCTTTAGAAGCATCTGATGGTCTTTTGGCTGCAGGAGCAGCTGCGACTATACCAGCACATAAACCTTTCCGACCATCACCTTTGCTGGCATTATCATCGGGTACTACATCCATGTTAATTGCATGTCATACATTGGAAAATAACACCAAACCCATCGAATTGCAAAAAGACAGCAATCAAATTGCAGTAATACTACACCTGGGGCTCCCATCTGACTCTGCTTCCTGCCTTGACGGTTCACTACTCATCTCACACTCTTCAGTAAGAACATCAGATTCCAAACTAGTTTTGGATTCAGGGCAAATACATCATTTGAGAAATGAATTTCCTCTAATCCAAGTTGACAGTGAGGACAAGGTTGTCCACTTTGTTCGACTGCGCATCGATCTTCAAATTCTTAACACTATCTGGGTTTACGTCATTTGCATACACCATGCACCCCTTTGGAGCAGCTGGGTTCGCAAAAGGGCCAATGCCAGCAAACAGGTCACGTGTGGTTTCCCCTGGTCAGAAATTAGATACAAGTCTTATGAGTTCATGCTCCAGTCTTGAATTCCAATACACCAGACTGAAATCAAGCTTCAATGTCGCTCCATACTGCTTCACCTCTGTTTCCATATCACTTCTTCCAGCCAAGACCTCAAACTTCAGCACACGAAACTCGTTTGCGATTGTTCCAACTTTATCGACAACCGTCGGGATTCGTACAAATTATTGATGCCGCATACTTTATGGCATATGTTTCTGCATGATCAGAGCTTCAGGCAGCACACACTTGAGCACTTTAAACATCCTAAAAACAGGAAATAAGCAGAACTACCACAGTGATGCTCTAAATGATACTCTAAACACATTCAAAAGAGAGCATAACACATTGCTGATTGTGAACCACCAGCCCACATCTTGTGGCTTGCTGTGGCATGTGTTTAGGATGCTCAGTTCAGAATGAAGAGAAAAGAGTACAGGAGAAATATGCGAGAAAACTTGACTAGCGTGCTATGGACAATGGCACGGACAAAATAACCGACCAAAGAAACACAACATTCATAAGTATGGCAGTTAGCACTACCTACGTCGTCATAGATGACTTTAGCAATAACATCCTTCTAGGGAAGCAGTTCGTCATGTATATTCAAAGTGTGCAATATGACAGGCACAAATAAGAGGACAACGTTACTTCCGGAAGATCACCCAGTTTTGAAGTAAAAATGACCATGAGGAATCTGATCCAGAAATAAATTATAGAGATTTTATGCATAACTATCGTTTCAAAAGATGTAGGTACCTCAACCCCATGTGAGAGAATCTGCTTCAATAAATGATCTGCAGTCAAGGTCAACCATAATTTTTCGATCGGTAAGAAGAAATTGCAGCTCAAAGCAAACCCAAAGGTCATCTACAAGGAATGTCCCCAGATAATAATCAAAAAAGCAAAGTGTGGGCAAGGCCTGGAATTCCCTTTGTTTCTTCTATATCTTCAATCGGATTGAAAAAGTACCTCCTTCAACTGTTAGGCGACAGGTCTGTGTTCAGCCCCCGAGTAATTTGTTCCTTCTGCGCTTTACGAATTTCCTTGAGCAGGGTGAGCATCCTCATGGGAATCTTCCTCAAAGCGTGCTTCTGGCAGCTTTAAACTCAGGCAAGTACATTGCCTGCAAAATCGATAAAGCTTAACACTCGACGCGAAGGCTCATGGGGGCCGTGGCGTCCTTCACCACCTAGACAATGGAATCGAAACAGTCGCATTGCTTGCCCAGGAGTACATGATTCGCAGCCGCGCGTCCCTAACCCTGTGGACTCGAGGTCAAGCTCATCGAGGAGAGCGATCAGGTCACAGGCTAAAGCAAGAACCACCGTCTCGGGTGCCTGAGCCGGTGAGCTTCGCGTTCAAGGGGTCGACAGACCCTTCCTCTCGCATCCACCATTTATCGTGCGAAGAAGAGGGAGGAAGAAGAGCGACCAATCACAGTACGGGAAATACTGTGGTTGGTCTTTTTAGCACTCCTGTTTTATTATAAAAAAGGAAAAAAAAAAAAAAAATATTCATAATTTTATAAAACTCCTACTTTCCATTATAAATAAAAAGTGGATAACTGAAGCCCCTATCCTATCCTCGAACAAATCTTAAAAATACTATGTATCAAAGTGGATAACTGAATCCCCAATCCTCGAACAAGTCTTAAAAATACTATGCATCTTCCATGAAGTCACCCGTCCGAGAAAAAAGTACCCTGCATGATGATCCAACGTAGATATCTTTCGGAGGATATGAGACCCCAATTTTGAAACACGTTAATAAATGTCTGGTGGGGTCTAGGGTTTTAACTTTCGATTTTTGCCTTTTAAATGTTTTTGAAAAGTACGTAGTAGTCAGGCTCTTCAAATTCTTTCGTAACTTAAAATAAAGCATTTCTTATTTTTTATGAGAAATTTATATACATTATACACATCTCTTCTTCTTTTTTTCCAAGTGTCATTTGGTGATATTCTCAATCGGATGTATTTTTGTAGACCCACTTTTCATTTACGGTCATTAGTAAGGAGTTTGTGGTGATAACAACGTGAAGACACCGATTGGAAATGGCCCTTTTCAACTGCTCGAAGGTATAGTCATTGCGTGGATTACGTTATAGATGTAACGCAGGAGAAGATGTCGCGGCCAAGCACGCGTGCAAGTGATTAGCGGGCGCCAAACGATGCTAAAACGAAGACAACCAAAAATCATTGCCAACGGTTGGGATCATTTACTGAGGTTGACTTTAGTGTGCAAATTGAAGTCCACATATTAGTATGCTCTATGGGCCTGTTTGATCTCAGTTTTAAATGCATTTGGCAAGAAATGCAAAGCACCTTTTAAAAGGATTTTCCGAAACGCAAAGAATGTTTGCACGTATTTTAAAATCACATTTGAAAGCAATTTCGTGCCTAATACCATGCTTAAAAATTATTTGTAAAACACTTTTGCTGATATTAAAATAAAAAAAAAGAGCTAACCACCAACCATCACCGCCGGCCGATCTCGGTCGCCGGCGACTCAAAGGGGGCGTCGTCCGACATCAACGACCGCCGCTTGAGGCCGCGTGACCCGGGCGGCGGCCGCCGGGTCACCGAT